AGTCAGGAAAGCATTTCCACTTTGGGGAAGTAGTTAAACGTGCTCAACTCTCCCTGGGATTTCCGGTAATGCTGTAAGTTAAGCACGTGATTCAACACAGCCCTGGTTTGAACCATAGGCTTTGCTTGTGCCAGCATTTTCCCACCACTGTACTAGCATCAAAGTAGCTCCACAAGTGGAAGAGCTAGTGTCGAGAGGGCGTCTCTGTTTTTACCACCAGGACATCTTACTGAATGGGGGAGGCAACCTAGTGAGAGACTTATGTGGAAAAAGCTGAAGTACTCAATGCTTTTTGTGCCTCGGTCTTCACAGACAAGGTCAGCTCCCAGACTGCTGCACCGGGCAGCACAGTATGGGGAAGAGGTGAGCAGCCCACAGTGGTGAAGGAACAGGTTAAGGACTATTTAGAAAAGTTGGACATGCACAAGTCCATGGGTCTGGATCTAATGCTTCCGAGGATGCTGAGGGAGTTGGCTGATGTGATTGCAGAGCCATTGGCCATTATCTTTGAAAATTTGTGGCAATCGGGGGAGGTCCCAGACGACTGGAAAAAGGCAAATATAGTACCCATCTTTAAAAAAGGGAAGAAAGAGAATCCAGGGAACTACAGACCGGTCAGCCTCACCTCAGTCCCTGGAAAAATCATGGAGCAGGTCCTCAAGGAATCCATTTTGAAGCACTTGGAGGAGAGGAAGGTGATCAGGAACAGTCAACATGGATTCACCAAGGGCAAGTCACGCCTGACGAACCTGATTGCTTTCTATGATGAGATAACTGGCGCTGTGGATATGGGGAAAGCGGTGCACGTGATATATCTTGATATTAGCCAAGCTTTTGATACCATCTCCCACAGTATTCTTGCCAGCAAGTTAAAAAAGTATGGATTGGATGAATGGACTATAAGGTGGATAGAAAGCTGGCTAGATCATTGGGCTCAACGGGTAGTCATCAACGGCTCGATGTCTAGCAGAGTGCCCCAAGGGTCGGTCCTAGGGCCAGCTTTGTTCAACATCTTCATTAATGGTCTGGATGATGGGATGGATTGCACCCTCAGCAAGTTTGCAGATGACACTAAGATGGGGGGAGAGGTAGATACACTGGAGGGTAGGGATAGGGTCCAGAATGACCTAGACAAATTGGAGGATTGGCTAAAAGAAATCTGATGAGGTTCAACAAGGACAAGTGCAGAGTCCTGCACTTAGGACAGAAGAATCCCATGTACTGCTACAGCCTGGGGACCAACTGGCTAAGCGGCAGTTCTGCAGAAAAGGACCTGGAGATTACAGTGGACGAGAAGCTGGATATGAGTCAGCAGTGTGCCTTTGTTGCCAAGAAGGCTAACAGTATATTGGGCTGCATTAGTAGGAGCATTGCCAGCAGATCAAGGGAAGTGATTATTCCCCTCTATTCAGCACTGGTGAGGCCACATCTGATGTACTGTGTCCAATTTTGGGCCCCCCACTACAGAAAGGATGTGGATAAATTGGAGGGAGTCCAGCGGAGGGCAACGAAAATGATCAGGGGGCTGGGGCACATGACTTATGAGGAGAGGCTGAGGGAACTGGGATTGTTTAGTCTGCAGAAGAGAAGAGTGAGGGGGGATTTGATAGCAGCCTTCAACTACCTGAAAGGGGGGTTCCAAAGAGGATGGAGCTCGGCTGTTCTCAGTGGTGGCCGATGACAGAACAAGGAGTAATGGTCTCAAGTTGCAGTGGGAGAGGTCTAGGTTGGATATTAGGAAAAACTTTTTCACTAGGAGGGTGGTGAAGCACTGGAATGGGTTACCTAGGGAGGTGGTGGAATCTCCATCCTTAGAGGTTTTTAAGGCCCGGCTTGACAAAGCCCTGGCTGGGATGATTTAGTTGGGGTTGGACTAGATGACCTCCGGAGGTCTCTTCCAACCCTAATCTTCTATCATTCTATGATCTAACCTGCTCACAGCAGCACCAGACAACACAGCGCTAAAACACAGGCAGCCACAGGCACCTTGTCTATGTCAAGGTTTTGCTACACCTCCTGTTGAGCAATCAGTGCAGCTATTCTGGAGCTGTCCCTTCAGCAAAGGCACTGACTGAGTTAATGCAAACCCCGGCTTGCATTAACTCAGTGGTCCACTCATGGACCCAGTGATGGTGCTGCTACACCAACAGCTGACTGGGGGCATTGTTGAGTGTAGACCAGGGCTAATGCTCCCCCCACAGCTAAACGGGGGCCAGTGTTCAGTAGTGGTGGTAGGGCAGGGCCCCATCAGAGCTCACCAGTACCCGAGGGCGAGGATACACAGAGAATCCAGCAAAGGAGCAGGGAGTCAGCCAAACAAAACAAAAGGCAGCAAAACGAGCTCCATGGAGCCCTTTCAACAACACACACAGCTCGCTGTCCAGCCTGTCTCTTGTTCCTTGTTACACTGCTCAGATGGAGTGAATTGCAGTAATCGGTCTATTTGCCTTCCTCCGTGGAGGCCACAGCAACACCCCTGCTGGGGGAGCACCCGTCAGGCCAGGCATCCAGAGAGACAGGATTCTGCACCAGGGCTCGGCGTGCCAGTCTAAGAGCTGGCCCAGCTCTGAATCCTGGGGCTGACCTTGAAGGTGCTTCCTGGCAGGGCCCCGGCTATCTCAGAGATGGGCTCTGAGCCACCTTCTACGACTGGCTCCAGCATGGCACATGCTAGGCACAACCCCAGCACTGCCAACTGCAGGAGCCTGCTTGCCACAGCGCCACTCTCACTGCAGTCCCAATAAAGCAGTGAGGAAGGATTTGTTTTCTGGGCATTAGATTTTTCCCTAATTCCTTTGCTTTTCGAGGCAGGGGAGGAATATCGCAAAATGGGTTGGCAGCCCAAGGCACTTTTCATCAGTAGATCTCAAAGCACTTTACAAAGGTCAGTATCATCATCCTCATTTTACAGATGGGGAAACTGAGGCACAGAACAGTGATGTGATTTGCCAGAGATCACCCAGCAGCAGCCCAGAGCTCCTGAGTCCCCCCCTCCAGTGCTCTTTGCTGCGTCACTATCTGTTCCTGCACTTTGCTGTCCAAAGTTGCCCAAGCCAGTACTTTTCACTGGTGAGCAACACGAAAAGAAACCGAAGAGACAGAATTCCGGGGGGAGGGGGGAGAGAGAGAGGAAGAGATAAGGCTATTTTACTGCTGGTCTAAGAAGAAAGGTTCCATCAGTTTTCATTAGACAGAGCAGCACTTTGGTTGGAGCTGTGGTTTCAGCTACAGAGAAAGCTCTGAAGGTTATCGTCACCTGGCATGCTGGGCACACATAACACTTATTACTGGACATTTTAATGTTCTTTTCTGTCTAGTGATCACGGCTTTTATTATTTTGATATAAAGAATTTTTAAAAAGGCAATTAAACTGAGATGGGAAAAGATAATGCACGAGAAAGAGAGAGGGTAAAGCCCAAGACCGATTTCAGTCCAGCTCCAGCCCCCAGCTCTCTGTAGAGCACAAAGCATGCCTTGCCTTGCCTTACGTTACAAACCTGCACCTGAGTCTGGGGTACACAACATGAGAATTACCTCCCTGGAGATCACTAGAGGCTCATCACCCGGCACGGCCTTCCTGTTGTGAACCCAGAATTATACACACAAGGCACCCATGGACACTGAGCTGGAGCTAAATGTGAGCTTGCCAATTACACCTGCACAGAAACCACTTTTCCATTTCAAATCTAGGTACACACAGTTTCGCAGCAGCCAAATGACTGCGAGAAGGGTTTTCTTGGACCTAGTTAGTTCTGCAATTTGCCATACTGGGGCATCTTCACCTATTGGACACAGCTCCATGTTTCAAAGTTTCCATCTACACTTTTTGGGGTTAGTTGTTGCAGTTTAAGAGGCCCTATTCTGATCTGTGCAAACAAGGCAACCTCTGGAAGAGCTGTCGGCAGAGACTTTGCACCCCCAACGCCTCACTCAGAGCCAAACAGATTCTAGAGATGGCTGGGGCGAAGATCCCCCAAGAACTAGATGCAGTTTGATGCTTCTGAAACTGCCATACAAGTTTCAGCAACTAAGGGGATGTCTACACTGCAAAGAGAGGTGTGACTTCCGCACAAATAGACACAGCTAGACTAGCTTCAATCCAGCTAGCTCAAATAACGATAGCAGCCAGGGTGGCAGGATTGGCTGTACACGCCCACCTGGGAGCCTGGGTATGTATTTGAGAGACTATCCTACCCTGCTGCAGCTTCACTGCTATTACTGGAACTAGCTAGATCATAACTTAGTTTGGGTATGTCTACACGTGCTGCAGTCACACCTCTGACTGCGGTGTAGACACCCCGGAGTGCTAAGCAGGTGAAAAGAAGGGACGCATTGGCTGGGTTTCATAGCGTAGACGCTTAGATACCATAGTGACAGGCACTTGATAGACAGAGGGTCAGATCTGAAGCCAATGGAAAGATTCCCATAAACTTCAATGGGCTCTGGGTGAGGCCCATAGTTGGGGGATGCCAGACATTAAATAATCATGGAAGCAGCCTAGGACTCTGCAACACGAAGCCCCAAGGTGGAAATTACAGTGCTTTTGCTCTGGAACAGGAAGGACAAATACCACTACAGCTATGTGATAGGTTTTCTCTACTGCTACTCAAGGGCCAGCACCATGCAAAGTGGTAGTCTTGTTTACACTGGCTACGGAAAACCAGTGGAAAGGCAGGGAACAGAACCCACCTCGCCCGACTCCCAGTCCGGTGCCCTACCCACCAGACCATGCTAGGTGTCTCCTATGACCAATGACTCACCAGACAGGGAGCATTAAGAGATCCACCACCACCACTCCACCCATCTCCCTCAGAAGCTAGACCTCTCGCCTCAGTGTCTCTCTGCCAGGCTAACCTGACCGTGAGCTTAGCATCGCAAGTCCAGCCCCACGCTCCCTCGCCCTCTCTTGGAGGCACAGCACGAGTTTCTGGCACCAGGCATGTATTTCTTACACAGATTTACATTGGGGAAAGGCACCGCTCTCCTTTGTGGCTCTTTACCTCTCTTTGTTCACTGCAGATTTTGCACAGCCAGAGAGGGCGTTTCTGGGTCCCGAGACTTTCAATTCCGCATTTGGTGCAGACTTTCTGAAAATAAGGAGAGAGAAAGAGAAGGACACAGGACAACGTCAATAGCTTCCTCACTCCGACTCCTCACAACGCCACTTCGAAGGGTCTGTGCCGGGGCAAGTTTCACCCCAGAATTTAGGTTCTGCAAAAACAATGATTTTGCTTCTCCTTTCATTTACACCAGCGTAACTAGTGATCCCAGGGGAGTCACTCCTGATCTACACTGGAATCAGTGAGAGGAGAATCTGCCCCACTGCTTCCAGTTGTGTTACTCCTAATTTATAGCAGGGCCGAAGGAGAATCAGGTGTAACATTTAAACAAAACCTGAGACCCACAGAAATGTTTCCCAAGTTGTTGGGTTTCTTTTTTTTAAATGATCCCCAAATGAAGTAATCATTTCCCTACAAACTCTAAGACCCAAACATAGCAGCACTGAAACTGACAAGAAACACAAATGAAATGATCTCATCCATTTTCACTGCAATATAAAATTTTAATAGGGAAAAACTATTAGAGTTTTAAAATTCTTTCAATTTGAGTGAGTCAGGTAAAAGAACCCCATCCTCCCTATGTGATTTTTAACCTGACAGTGTCCCTTTCAGAAAGTGGCTGGGCAGTTATTGATTCTCTGCTGAGCTGGAAATGGAGCAGACCATACAAACAGGTGTATTTCCTGGAGACAACACCTGAATAGCATTTTATGGAATCTGTTCCTGTACAAGGGAACTTCCATGTCTCCACTGGCATAACAAGTCATTTATAGCTTGCATCATCTAATATTCTATAACAAAGCTGATGTACATCAGTCTTGGAGTACAGCTTGAATGAGGAATGGGATGGAGTCTTTGAGCCTCTTTGGACATCACAGCAAAAGCCACTCACCCAAGGGCCTAGGAGTGACATCTTGTTTACAGCAAAGAGGAATTAAAGCCCCCAGTTGGGATTTTACATATTCCTCTGATCTGCCCAGCCGGGACCAGCTCCAGGGATGCACATTCAGTCTCCATGTCTCATTCAATTCTTGGCCTCTCTGCTGGGACTGAGCTAAAGGGGTGACCGATGCCACTTATGCTGGTGGCTTTGGCACGCAGACACCTGTTCCACCGGGTACAAGCCTAAAGACCAACTATTTTGGTCAGTGTAGTCCGGAGGCTGTGCTCCTGAGCTTTAACCCTGGCTCTGCCACCAACTCACTGAGCGGCCACATCCAAGACGCAATCACTCTGGGTCTCTGAATCCCCAGGGGATGTTTACAATCATAGAATCATAGAATATTAGGGTTGGAAGGGACCTCAGGAGATCATCTAGTCCAACCCCCTGCTCAAAGCAGGATCAATCCCCAACTAAATCCCCAAATGGCCCCCTCAAGGATTGAACTCACAACCCTGGGTTTAGCAGGCCAATGCTCAAACCACTGAGCTATCCCTCCCCCACTAAAAATGAGCATCTGCAACTGCTACACTGCAGGCCATCAGACAGTCACTACCAAGCTTGGATGGCTTTAAGCGAGTGACTGCCATAAGCAAATATCTCCAATGGCTGGTGATGGGACACTAGATGGGAAGGCTCTGAGCTACTACAGAGAATTCTTTCCCAGCTACCTGGCTGGTGGGTCTTGCCCACACGCTCCAGGTCTAACTGATCGCCATATTTGGGGTGGGAAAGAATTTCCCCCTGCGTCAGATTGGCAGAGAGTAAACGGTACAGTCTCTGTAACCTGAAGTCTTTACATCAAGATTTGAGGACTTCAGTAACTCAGCCAGAGGTTAGGGCTCTATTACAGGAGTGGGTGAGCGAGATTCTGTGGCCTGCGACATGCAGGAGGTCAGACTAAAAGATTGTGATGGCCCCTTCTGGCCCTACAGTCTGTGAGGCTCTGGTTCTGAGTTGGTGTAATGGGGAACAGCTCCCTGTCCCATTTCCAACCGCATGAGCCACCCAAGCCCTCAGTGCCACGTGTATTTCAGTGCACTGTGATACGCAGCTCGCAATCTGAACAGGGCAAACCTCCTGCTCATGAAGATGTTGCACAAAGGCTGTTTTCTTCTCCCCGTGTGAAATTCACCCCCGCACAAGGAGCCCGGACAAGGTTTAGGCTCTGCTGACATCCTCCTCACGCCCTATTTCAAGAGCTTAGGTGGGGCACAGCCTTTGTACTGGGGCGGGGTGATTACATCGAGAGGGCATTACTACACAGATGTACACAACAGACAGATGGACAATCCCCTGCCCCTCTACCATTTGTTTGGCAGAGACTCTGGAGAATCACAACACTGTTCTCTCTGTGCGAGCGTGTGACCCCCATAGATGTTCCCTGCACTCCTGGGGAGAAGCAAATGGGCTCTGCATGGAGCCTAACAGCCTGGAACCTCAATCACACGTGTCTGTCACTCTCACCATTAAATCTCAGCTCAGCAAAGAACATGGAGCTCGCTCCTCCCACTTCACAATACAGTATGGGTTCCACTGCCAGATCAATGGCCTACGTGAAGAGCGTGGGGGTCCAAGTGCAGGTCCTAAGAGGAGACGTGACCACACCACACCACAACCCTCCGGAAAGCCTGGCATCCATTCACCTCTGAAGGCATACATCAGAACAGGCTCCTTGCCCCCACAGGAGAGATGCACCCCTCAAAACCTTAAGGCAGAACAGGCAGTAGTTGCTCCATTTCCAATTGCCTAACCCCTCACCCCAACCTAAGCACGGTCAGCTGTGCAAATGTAAACTCCGGCTCCCACAATATGGTGTCCATGAATGGCTCCTAATGGACCCATGACCACGTGGACATGGAAATCAGAGCATATCCCAACTCCACGACGGATACCAGAGTAGTAAAAATATATCCAGGAGGCTGACAAAGAGCCTTGCAGTGCATCAGGTGATGGGAACATCGCTGACGGTCCTATCTTGCCCTCTACCCGGGACTCCGATCTCACTGCCAGCTAGTTTGGGACAGGGCATCTCCGACACTTCAGGGGGATGAAAACCGCATGGCCTCGCCTCCCTCTTCGCTGAGCCCCCTTCCGTTCACAATGTGGCTCATAATACAGGCTGGAGGCAGCTCTGCCGGCATCGCTCCAACAGCATCACCCAACCAGCATGCAAATGCAGCCCCGTGTGGGCAGAGTCAGCTGAGGCCCGAGAGACCAAACTCCACTCCATGGTTCCAGAACAAGGTACCGGGGCCGCCCACAATGGAGGGAACAAACAACTGTGCCCTGTATGCTGTGCTCTGCATGGCCGACCAGCCAGCCGACATGGGGGGCGGGTGGGTATTAGCTGGAGGAAGCACTAAACAATTCCACAGAGATGCTGTTCTTTGTTTCTCCCCAATTCTCATCCCTCCCCTCTGCTGTGAAATAACCAGCAACTGGCTGTCCCCACTTGGAATGGGGCTGTCAGGACTCAATGCCTTGCTGCACAAACTGACAGGGACAGTAGATTCAAGCAGCAGAGTGTGCAGTCATTACCTGCTGCCCGTTTCACTGCACCCCAACCTCCTTCTCTCTCTGAAGACTGATTCAAACTCAGCCTTTAATACACTGGCAAGTTTAAAACGCCACATGGAATAATGCATTCAAATGCTCCCCCTAGTGGAGATTTGCAGAACTTTTATTCAATTTTAACTCCATATTTTAACACACTGGAGGTTCGGGTTTTTTGTTTTGTTTTGTTTTTCTCAGACTTGCTGGAAAACTGGAATCTTATCCCCAAAACCTCACTGTCAGGTTCTGAAGAAAGCCTCACATAAATAGATATGTGGATTTGCAGACACTTAAAAAAACCCCAAAAACTGTCATTCATTAGCTGAAATGCCAGACTCTTTCTTCTTCACCTATTTATTACAGGTTTATATTTATGATATGTTTCCAATAGTCATTACTGACACATCCTCAGTAAGTGGAATATCAGACTGTGTGTAATTGCTGTTATTGCTGCATGTAGACTCTGCATTTAAATGCTACACTGATTTCACACTTGTTGTGTTGTATTTATTTCTAAAATAATAAACAATCTTTTTAATATTGAAAAGGAAAAATTATTTTAACTTCAAATTCTAAACCAGAAGGTAGGAGCAAGAAAACCCACAGGATTCAAAGGGCTAGAAGCCTCTATATTTTGCAGAGGCAACTCACTTAAGATGTATTCATTGCTCTGTTTCGTATGCATTATGTTGCATTCATTACCAAAATTCCTGTTATTGAACTACATGTGGAGGGTGTTCCAATGAGATGGCAGCATTAGCAAGAAAATTATAAACTTCAGAAGTCCATAATCCCCTGACAAGTCACTGCTTATTGCACAAAGCATGGAACACGTGACCGATTTCTCCTTAGGGGAAGGCGGGAGGGAGCATGAAGTTATGTTGCATCTTTGTACCTGCTGAGGCTTACGAGTCTGCAGTACATCATGCCTGGTCACTACCCACCCCCACCACGCTGCTGAAAGGGGAGTAAAAGAAACCAACCCATAAGTCCTCAAACAAGTGGCACCCAGTGTGCTCAAAGCCTCAGGAGTCCTCACAGCAAAAGGTTCCTATCACCATACAGCAGTTGTGAAATTCACTAGATAGCAGAGTTCTTCCCTGAATTCCAGCTGACCTTCTCCAATCCGTGTCCCATGAATTCCTGGCTAACGGGGAATCATCGTCTGGAAAAAACAAATAAGTTTGCCCTTGGACAGGCCTACCATGCAAGGCTCTCAAGGTGCTTTAGGGTTCCCAACACACCCATGCACCCTGCAGGGAAGGTAACGTTATTAACCCTATTTCACAGAGGGGGAAGCTGAGGGACAGTTCATGCCACCCTCTGCCCCATCCTCAGCATGTGGGACTCACTGGAAGGGGGACCAGAAAATGCCCCAGTAAATGGATGTTTCCCTGCGGTTCTAACCTAGCTGGTTGTGGATGTGCTGAAAGCAGGATTTCCAGGGGAAGAGGGCGGGGAGCACAGCATGTCCTGTAATTCTCCCTCGCTTGAAATGAAGGAAATAAAGAGCAGTCTCCTGTGCACCAGCCCTTACCTCCCTACGAACAACTGAGAGAGTCGCAGGATTTGTGTCCAAGCTACCCGAGTGACCTTTGCCCTCTGCTCCACCAAGGGCAGTTGCTCAGACCACCCAGTTTGCCCCATCTCTGTGCTTCAGCTCAGGGACCACCTCCACCGTGCAGGTGCCTCCTTCATTACATCTTCTAGGGGGATTCTCTCCTTCCTTCCGCCTGTGTTCTGAGTTGAGGATCTCTCTGAAATAATCTGGGCCTGGTGGTTCACATATTTGCACACACTCACCCCAACACTGTGGCGACCAGTTGGGAAATCAGTCTACGTATACCTTCTGAATTCCAGTTTGATTTTATTAACTCTCTGTATCCTTCCTTATGTCTTAGGACTTTACTGAGTTCTTGTTTCATGCTCCTTGTGCTAAGGAGGCAGAGCAGTGGCACCTGGATTGGGTGAGTGGACTACTGACATTCGGCCTAGATCGAACAGGGCAATACAATGGGTATGCTAAAGAAGATGGCCAAAACAAGGAAACCAGTTCTGTCCAACTGGGCTGGTAACTAAGCAACAGCTAGCCTGTTTGTTTGTCAGGTGATCCAAGGGTGGACATTTGGGGGAGAAGCCATGTACAGGAGGGGGATCCTGGACACCCTAGAGGGCTCTGATCGAATCCCTCAGGAGTGGTGAGGAAACTGAGGCAGGGAAGGGCATGTGGGTACAACTTGGCATAACCTGTGTGCTGTCTAAAGAAAAGGGTAACTGTGCTGGAAACCTTTGCAAAGCCTGCATGTCCTGTGCTTCAATTATCACATGTCCCTAGAGAGAGGAACAGTAACCCAGGGCACCCACAAGGCCGGAGCTCTGCAACAGGGTGAGCTTAAGCTACTGGCGTGTCTTAGGGGGTCTGCACTGGTCCTGAGGCCTTGGGCAGCTGGACTGTGAGGTCCCACTTCCATGAAGGGGTAACAAAGAGTCTGTGCCCTGGGGTGCGCCAGCAGGACCAGAGAGACCGCATTGGAACCTGCCCAGGCCAAAGGAAGACCAAGAGCACACAGATCTCACGGGTGGGTCCCAAGCACAGCAGCTTGGCGAGCGTCCAGCCGGGACACAGGCACTTCGTAACAGTCCCAAACACACTGCCACACCCTAAGTTTGCTCAGCGTGGCAGAGCACACTCAGAGGTCCGAGTTATCCCATCCCAAGCCAGCGCGGGTGCTGCCTAGCGAGCTCTGCCGCCGACACCAAAGTGAACATGAAGAGGGCTCCGGGGATTTCAGCACTGACATACGGTAAATGTGCATTGACCTTCATGAATAACGACTCTGAGCCCCTCGCTCCACAGAACCCAACAGCAGCAGGAGCCCAGATGCTGCCCGATGCAGGGCCGTCTTTCCAGCCTACCGAGAGCCCGAGATACCACAGACTGCAGACACAGTTAGCATAGTACAGATACGTGGTCCACACAGATTACTGTCCCTCCACCCGTGATCTGAGCAGCCAGCTTAATGGGATGGTACAGCCATTGAGACTACAGGTCCCAGCATGCAATACTCCATCTTTATCGGAGAGGACTGCTGGGTTGCATGCTGTGGGCTCCATTAGGCCACCTCCCTTGTGGTGGTGGGACTGGGGTCCATGGGGCAGCTCCAGCTGCCCCACAGGCCTCACTTTAGCCACTGCTACCCAGAGGGGATATTGCCAATGTGGGCGGCTCCCTTCAGCCTCCTTGCAAGGCTGAGCTGGGCCCTGAACAGACACGCTGCTCCCAGCCTTGCACCTATGCTCATGCTTCCCTGTGCATGTCACTGAGGCAGAACTATGGAAAAGGGAGATTTCTCCCAGGGCAAGATGAGTTTCAAATGTATGAAAAAAGCAACATCCCAGCAGAGGCTCTCAGAGGAGGTGGTGGTTGCCTTGGAGATCGTCATCTCCGCAGCTCTCCGGCTTAACCCCTTGGTTGCTGGAGTCCGGACAAGCAGTGGTCTCCCATCGAAACATTACATTGCAGCAAAAACCCTGCAAACTGAAGCCCGCCACCTATTTCAAATAGCACGGATGTCACTGGGACAGCAACATGCTGTAACCTTGCAGCAAGGTTTAACCATGCACTAGCCAGGGGGATGGCTCAGGGGACTACACATTAGCCCTGAAATAACTAGTTCCAAAAGGGTGGATCTGAACCTTCAGACCTCTGAGGTAGAGAAACTGAGCACCTTGCGGTTACTGGGCGGAGGCTCGGACAAGACCTCGATAATGAGGCGCATGGAGCTTCCTGTGAGAGTTCCTCATTGAGCATAATTGCTGCCCCCGCCCCTCACTGTGCAAGCCCACTGTTTGCCTGACTGATGCCTTCCACCCCAGAGGTGGCTGCAGTTCATTGGGGTTCTAGACACAGGGTTTGTAAAGCTTTTTTGGGATCTTGGGGGAATGAGACACTTAACGTGATATTAAGGACTGGGCAGGGACCAGATCCTCTGGGGGTTTATTACAAAGCACACCAGAGTTAAATGCTGTCCAGCCAGTCCCCACCCCCACCCCCGCAAGATCAACCTGAGATGGATTAGCCTCCTGGGTATTTATAGGAAAACAAGATGCCGGGAAGCTTACCTTTTTGCAGTCCTGACAGAAGACCGATGTGGTCCCCAGCAGCCCCAACAGCTCGCCACAGAGTAAGCACTGAGACAGCCCATTCCCCATCACGTTCTTCCTCATGTTTTCCAGCCGCTCCACCAGGCGCCTGTAGGGGAGCAGAGATTAGAGGAGATTCCTTTGGAATTACTGCAGTGAGGCAGACTCTGCAGGGAGGAGCATGGGCTAGTGGTTAGATCTGGACACCTGGGTTCTGTTCCTGGCCCACGCTCACCACCCCTCTTCGTGCGGCTTTGAGCAAATCACTTAATCCCCATGACTCAGTTTACCCATCTGCAAAATGGGAACAACACCACCCAGGTAACACAATATAAACAGACCGGGGACAGCCATGTTGTATCCCTGGCTCGGCCAGTGAGTGCAGAGCAAGAAGTTATGTTCACAGTGCATGCAGGGGATGTTTCAGCATTCTAACGAAGGGTGGCTAATGGGGCAGCATCACACGGGTTGTATGGCCTTCAGCTTGCAGCACGGAGCAAAGGCTTCCTGCCTTTGGGATGCAGATGGGCTTTAAATGCATATGTCGGAAAGCAGGGCTCCTACAGGAAAACAACCCAGCCCAAAATGAAGGGCGCAGAGGAAGCTGGGTAATACCCCACTGGCAACAGCTCAGGTTCTAGGACATTACCATGGGCTGCCAGTGCAGGGGTGGGAGCTCTGGAGATACCACCCTATGCCTGGCTCCGAGCTGGGAAGCCCAAATCTGAGGCCACAGGACCCCAAGCGGGATGGGGAACACCAGCGAGACTTCGCATTAATAAATAGGCTGCTTTCGATGCAAAAAAAGCAAAAGTCTGCATGTGAGGCGTCCACAGCAGCTGGAGTGGGAATGCAGGGGCTGCCAACTTGACTACAGAACGTGGATGGCGTACAGAGCTAGGATTATGGCTCTAGCTCACCAGCAGTGCTTCTATTTATACAGGGAGCAAAATAATAATAATGGAGTTTATCAACGGCAGAAACCAGCAGCAGCTGTGCATGTGGGTGCGCTAAGGGAGAAAAGGCAAGGCCATTTTTCACCCACCTACATTCTCATTGGGACCAGAGCCCCATAAAGCAAGCCAGGCACCGATGGGAAAGCAAGGTTTGTTTGGAAGGGGCACAGACCCTATAGTGAGGCGATTGGGACAGACAGCAGAGCCATAAGGAGCCATCACGGCTGATTCTGTGACCCGTGCCCTCCACATAACAGAACTTTGAAGAGTTAGTAGAAGAACTTCAGCGAGGGCTTTAACAAGCCAGGGGCTGGTGCTTAGAGGGACCTAGGGCTTTCCACCCTTAGCTCACCAGCCAAGAGGGAGCGGTTACCATCTGATGCTTGTGCAGTAGCTTTCACATATGATGGGTCTTACAGCACACTGACACAAACCACCGTGGCTGGTGCTAAATAGCACCCTCCCCGAGGTCCAGGCAAGTCAGTTTCCCGGGAAAGGTTTTGGTGCATCGGGGGAATTTTGCACAAGCTGTGCCTGATCCAGGGGTCTTCCTTTCTCCTCGCCCTTTAATAACGAGCCCCCAGTGGCTTCCCCCTGGGCGACTTGCTTGCTTTGATACAGTCAGGCGCAGGGTTAACACTGTCCCGTCTGCCAGACCAGTCCTTCAACTCAGCCAAAAGTCAAACGAAACATGGCGTGGCGAAGGTACCGACGGACGAGGATGATGCCAGTCAGTTAATGACTCCGGCTAACAAACCCTTCCCATGGAGTCAGCCAGCCAGAACACTCCACGCTCACTGCTCTGAGCAAACAACCCCAGAGAATTACTGGGCAGCCGGAGACTGTCACCCAGGAGTTCTGACTGCAGCCCCAACGCTGGGCAGCTGTGCAGCTCAGTCAGGTTCCTAAGGCCTTGGTAGGAGCCATGGGTGTGGCTACCGTAGCCAGGACAAGCTCACCCCCCAGCTACACGAGGTGTTGCCCCAGTGGCTGTAGTCAGAGCAAACCCCTGGTCTAGACAATCTCCAAGTATGGGAGTGAGAAGGAAGAGAGCCCCCATCCTGCCTTTCGCCCAGCCCAAATCAGGGCTAGACAGACTGGGTGTGGGAGACACTGACCGAACTGATACGCAGCCTGCGCGGTGATTGGAGCACAGCAGGACCGGAGAGCCACCTTCCTAGGATGGATCCTATGCCCTCCTCCAGGGAGAAATAAACAGCAAGTCCCTAGCTGGGCCGGGCGACCGTACCCGATTCGCTGCTGCTCAACAAGGTCCAGCTTCTCCGCCCTGCGGATGACCTCCAGGATGACCTCCAGCTCCTTCGGGTTCAGCACCTGCGTTTTCCTCTGCTTGTCAGTCTGGTTTGTGTGCACCGACCAGCCAGTCTGGAGCCTGCAGGGTGGGCAGTGTCACACTGAAGGCTGGAATAGCACAGAAATCCTCTGCCACGCCCCAGGTCCTGAACCTGGGAGCCTAGAAAATCACAGCCATCGACTTGCCTGCAGAGATGCCGGGTCCCAAGCAGAAATCTATCGACACGACCGTTTCACGTTCCACACTTCACCTTCCCCACAGGGCTGAGAACCGATTTCCTGCCACTGACCTAACTCCTCCCGTCCTTGGATGCCCCTTCTTTTGAGCAGGCCTAGTTTTCATTTTACACTTGGGTGTCATTACCCCAGGTGGGGCGTCAGCAGAAGAAAGCACCGTCTAGTGGTTAAAGCAGGGGTCCCTGCCCCCACACACTGACAGGCCCCTTTAAGACATCTCATGCTGGGCACCCAACAATATTAGGCACTTTTGGAACCATAGGCCTGGGAGTTCATCCCCAGCTCAGCCACTGACCTGCGAGGTGACCTGGGGGATGCCTGTTTCTCCTCTCTGTCAAATGGTTTAATTCTCCTACACCTCACAGGCTTACAGCCCTAACTCACTAGCATTAGTAAAGGGTTCTGAGACCACTAAATGACCTTAGATATACTCGAGCAGCACAGAGCACCATGATAACATGTGGCTCAGTGCCAGATAGCCGAGCCTAAGGGGAGCTCCACAGCAGTGACTGCAGGAGGCTCTGTCCTGCCCATACAATGCTTACAGCCCCAGTCCTGTCCAGCTGGGCGCTGTTACGTTTTTAAGCCCTTTGAAGCTGACCCAGGAGGTTCAGCTGGGAGCAGGACTGGGGGCAACAGGGCACAGGCTGCTGCCAGAGGAAAGCAGCTAGAACAAATACAATTCAAGCCACTGACTTATCCCAGTCCCCTCCCCACCAGCAATCTGACTTGAGGGAGAAAACAAGATCAAATGACATGTGCCTCCAAACAAAAGAGCAGGCGCCAGCTGGGGGAGGCCATGAATTATAGATGGGGCGCTGCTAGGACTGGCTTTTGCATCCACCAACTTTGCTTATTAAATATAGGGTTGGTAGTGGGAACTCAAAGGAGGGTGGGGGTTGCAAGCTATTGCACAGGAAGGAAACTCCAGACAGCATCCGAACACAGGGCTGCACCTCAAGAGGCATCCAAGCAGCGATTCCTGTGGCTGTCCTCAGGGAAGCCAAATGACATAGTTGGCCTCCAGCAAGGCAGCTGCATTGTGACTATAACACCTGGAGCAGTGCAGCGGCTTTGAGAAAAACCCTGCACTGTGGGTCCTGGCAGACTTCACAAGCTAAGCAGGGTCAGGTCAGGTCATTACTTGGATGGGAGACTGGCTGGGGCAGATAGGTACTGCTCTCAGTGGGGCAGGCAAGCCACTAGCTGGTGCCCCCTTTTTGACTTAGGTAACACACCAAGGCCCAGGCCTGCTGCTACAGGCTGTCTTATGAGGCAGATGTACAACTCACGGTGGTCGTTAATAGTACCTTGGCACACTTCACCAGAGCAGGAGTCAATCCAGGCCGTTACATTCTGTCTAAACGCACCTGGCAGAGTCAGTGGGGTACAGCCTTCTCCAAGTTATCCATTGGAGTGCATGTTACCTCTTAAGCAGCTGCCCCATTTCACCCAAGGGGGGGCTGCACTGCAGTGACGCTCTGATCATTGCACAGCTTGTGGATCAGTTTCAGGTTTTAGAGCATGTTCAGTCCCTTCAGGCAGGAAGGAGTGACAGGAGTGATGCAGGATGTTATTACGTGCCCTGCTCAGCACAGGAGCAAAGCCATCAACTCCGAGGAAGCTCAGGTCTCACGGGGAGCAGGAGAGACCTCTCCTCTCCCACTCCTGCCCAAGCCCCAGGCCGGGTCTGAAAAGCAGCCACAGCTGTGGGTGTGGAGAGACCTAGTCTCTAGATCAGGTAAAGAGACAGGGCATGACCCTTTCACGAGCTGGGCAGGCTGGGAACCCTCTCCAGGGTGTGGAATGAGAGCTAGGGCTTGGGCTGCCCACAAACCAGAACCAATGTAACTAACCAGGTTTTGATCCACCCCGTTAGCTACTTGGCTGCAAGTGTGTCAGTGGGCAGCAGTTGTTCAGAATGGAAGTGTCTGATGTCCACTGAACAGCTCTGGTTTTCATGTGCTAATCCCACACTCAGACTTGCATGGGAAGAAAACAAGACGGTTCCAGTTTGTGTGTGGACCAGCCCTGGGCACAGTGCAAGTCAGTCTGGTGAAGGAAAAACCTCACAGGCCTGGCAAGGGAAGCCAGTTTGGAGGGATGGATTGTGGGGGATTTCCATTGGGTTCCTCTAGCATGGCCAATAATAAACTGGGTTTTGGCTTATCTATGCACCATAGTATCTACAATACCCCTCTCGCTTGCCTCGGAATAGACAGGAAGCTTGTGGGAGAGCCAGGAATTGAACCCAAGCCCCAGACCACTGCTCTAACCACTGGGAAACCTTTCCTCCCCCCTTACAGGCTCTGTCTTTGCAGTTCGGGCACTCTGAGATCCAGGGGACCCTGCCTCACAGGCAACTAGCACCGCCCCTTCTGCCCCAGACCCACAGCCTGAGAATCAGCCTGGAGGGCAACAGTAAACGCTGTAAGAGATCACGCTCTGCGGCCCCTGCTGTTAACAGAGAGAGGGGAAACAACAGGAAGCACTCACTTGGCTCTCAGCGCCAGCTGCCGGTCATTGGGACACACCCACTGATCGCTGCCGTTACCAAAGATAGTATCAGCCATGGCAGGAGACTGGAGAGAAGGCCGGAGGAATCACACCTGTAAGAAAAGGAAACAGCACCAAACACTAAGTCAGTCATTGACCAACACCTGCCTAGAGTGAACATAGCCACCAGCCCAGGGCTCCGCTCAGAGCCCAGCTCCATGTGCTGCTCTCAGCAGCAGACTGCAGACCATGGGAGCCAAGCTCCAGCATTCAGATCCAAGGGCAGAGCTTGGCTCGTGGGCTGAACACATCAGGGCACTAACCAAGGGCAGCGCTCACGTACCTTTGCACAGCAAGACTCAAGGTCTCAGGAGAAACCCACTCCTCAGAGCAGCGCATTGGAGAGCTGGGACCCGGAGCTGGGAATGGGCAGGCCCAGGGGGCTAGTGCTCTGCCCTGCCATGCAGGAGACATGCGTTCTGTTCTTACTGCCCCAGGCCAGCAAAGGGCTGGTGACAGATTCTGCACAATTGTAAGTTGCATTTTGATGGTCCTAAAAGCATGATGCCAGGAAAACCATCTAGGCCAAACTTTCTTGCCACACTGATCTGTACTGCAAGAATCGTGGCCTCTTTGTCCTTCCACAAAATGAACCTTGGCTGCTGCTCAAAACACCAGCATGTGATTGCTTTAGACACATCCCCTGTACATGCCAGACCATCTCTGTGTACCCATTACAGCCTTCCAATGGAATAGCCAGCAATGAACTGCGGATCAGTCCATAATCAGGGATCACGGTTTAATTCCAGACCAATGCACCCACACAGAGACAATACTATTTCAATCTAGTCTCTATCTGCTGCTCCAGGGGAGGAAATTATTTGTCTTCAACAGCTGCTATAGGCCTGTAGATGTTCTGGGCAAAAAAACAATTGAGGCTTTAAGTTGATCTACATAAGGAAATGTATTTAATTAAGATGGCAGGTTGGCTAACAGGTGAACATGTTGCACTAAACAGCTTTCTCTACCTGTAATTTACTTGCTTTTACCTACAGCTCTCATCGGAAGCCTGTGCTTTGTGGATGCGGAGGATTTTATACAGAGGGGCTTGCTTATCATATTGCAAAACCTTGTTACTTCAGCCCAGGGCAGAGTACAGACAAACTCTTTCATAAGAAGTGATTTAAGCTTGAACTGGTTTTCTAACACTTCAGGAACACCAGGGTAATCAATGAGAGGGGAGGAAATGTGAACAGCTGCTGGCTCTACGTCCTTCCGGGCTTAATCTATCTAGTTTTGATTCCAGCAGGGACAAGAAAGAAAAACATTGAAAGACTCTTGATCAAAGTACATTGTCTACAGTCAATAAAAGCTCCCAAGTCTTTTCACCAAGCTTGTCTCTCATCCAAGTGCTCTCAGCCAGGTGGCACGAGGCATTCCCCAAGCAGCAGTTTCAGAGCGAGGGCGCGTAGCTGTTTGGTCTCCTGGATCCCCAACAAAATGCTGTAAAAGTGCCGGTAGGTTTTTGCAGTTCCTGCTGAGGCTAAAACCACTTGGCACTTAAGAGTTATGGGTCCATTTATTTTTTAATTTACAAAATATGCCTGATGCCAGTATCTCAGGGAGCACATGCTTCACTTAATGCACTGTATTTTATAAACAGTGTTCAAACAAAACAAAAAAATCACTCTCTGACTCCCTCTGGTTCCTCTCCACTTTGCACTACATCTTCTATACAATACACTCCAGCTCTATCAGACCAGCAGAATCAAGGAGCTTCCACTGAGAATGCGTGTGCAGATGTTTGCATCTGGGGACGGTTAGCTTGATCCCAGCTGCTGCAAGGACACACGGGGTGGTGCGTTATTTGGACAGTATATGGTGAACATACAGTGGCACTTCCCAGCAGGCGAGCTCAAAGCTCTGTGCAAATATTAGTTAGGCTTCACAACGCCCCCCACCTGGTAAAGTAGGTGAATATCATCACCCCATTTTACTGACACGTAAGCTGAGGCAGAGAGAGGGGAACTGATCAATCAGGAGTCCTGCCTCATGGGTCCACATTCTCACTGGGAACATGGACTCTGGGAAGAGTGTTTGCAGTCATTTGCTGTAAACTTCTAAACTCTAAAGGGGTTTTAAAGCGAGATATAAATCTTGGGGCGAGCGCATTCCGGGGTGCGATCCCTGGAAGAACTGCACAGGTGTGGAATCTGCTCAAAGACCAAGCATGTGGCAGAGCACACCAGCACTCTGGAAGGCAGGGTCTTCACTGCTATGCATATCAACAGTTGAGGTTGAACTGCGAAACAGTAGCACCTGAGTGGGCTGCTTGATAGCAGCAAGTTCTGGGTTCAGCATTTATGCTCAGCTTTGGGTGACAGTGTGTGACGGGGAATTCATCTTCGCATCCCAGTAGGGCTGGCAGAAAAGCCACAGACTGCTCTAAGTGCTAAACCAAAGTAAACATGACATGCGTGCCTAGCGATACTCCATGCAGAGCACAGCCGAAGGCACCTCACACCAGGGAAGCAGGGAGGCTACCCGTGGGAACTTTCACTAGAGATTGTGGAATGTCCATTGCTTAAGTGGGGAGACAATATTTCCCTCTGCATTGGGATCAGCCTGCTTCTCACGCCTAGCCTAGACAGGCCCTGTATGAGAGGGACAGACAGACGGACATCTAGGCCTATAGAGAAGCCAAAGTAGTCTGCAGGGTCAGAATTTTCAGAGGTGGGCACAGAGGGTACATCTACCCTCAGCGCCTGGGAAGACTCACAATGATGCATACAAGCAGGGAAGTCCTGCTCATTTCCATTGGCCAACACCTACAGCTTTCAGGTTTATCGTCCCTGGTTCAGCAGCTGGGAGGATGTTGTCTTTTCCTCCTACAGAGCAATGCCACATGAGAGGCAGCATAATGGCTGCAGAAGGACAGGAAGAAGCACGGAGTCATACTTGCTCACCCTACCTAGACAATTCACAGGGTGACTCAGAGCAAGCTCAGCAGGCTGCACATCACCCTGTAGAATGGCATGGGAAAGAGAGACCCCAAAGGTAATGAGCTGGAGCAATGTCAGGTGTTTCATGTCATTACTGCATCATCACTTGTCTCATAGTTCATCTCACCCAGCCAGGAACATATGCCCTTCCTATGGTCAAAACATGTCTGAGCAAGAAGCTGTGGCCCGTCTCTATCTCCATTCCCCCACACATGGTCTCCAGCGGGATAGTCAGACTTGCCTATCCCCAGCTAGATGCTAGAAAGGAAGGACCAGAGCTAGGAGAACCAAGCCAGTTTGGCTACAGTAAAAATCCACCCAAATCACCAGCTGTTTGAGAGAGATCTCAAGTAAGTGCCCACATCCAGTAGACATTTTCCTCTTTGTATCAATTGTAGAATTTCTACTCTGTCTTCTAGGTAAGCAATGAGACAAAGCACAACTTATGCTGCACATTGAAGAACTGCAAGGCACCCCTGTGGATTACCTTAGTGCTCTGAGGTCTGAGCAGCCTAGACACTAGAAGCTTTGTAGCCAGGCCGCCCGTACAAGCCACTTTCGCTCTGCAATAATGCCACAGGCTTCTAAACAGACGGGAACTCAGGAGTCAGATTCACTCCGGTTGAACTCAACTGTGCGTGCAAGTTAACACTTAATTGCCTAGATTAATACAGGATGGTGCAAAGCACATGACCTTCAATAAGATACAAAATGCGGTAGCACTCCAAGCAATTGCTAGCTGTATTACAGGTTGCTTCCCCTTTGGGGAATAATTGCATTAACAAGCAATCACATCGCCAACACACCAGTTACCTCAGCTACACTGGGATGAGAAGTGAAAAGCACACTGGGAGTTTTACCACTGACTGCAATGGGGCCAAGATTTCACCCGCCGTGTGCTAGTCTCCCCAACCACAAATTGTGTGTGTCACTGTGAGATTCCCAGTTGTACCTGGCAATAAAAACATTAGAGGTCTCCACTTCAAAAACCCAACCCTTCGATTGACACCCTCCATCTTAAGATGTGGCTTGAAGTTTTGATTTTATAAAAACTAAGAAGACCCCACTGATGCTAGTAATTTTTACCACGACGTTTTCTTTTAATCCAGTTCGTTTTGAACAAAAATGCCCTACAGGGTTTGCAATGCTAGGACTGCAGCCCTGCCAAGCTGACAGTCAAAATATCTACAAAGAAAAATCAAACAGACATTGATGGTTTCCACTGTCCTGAGATGCAAAAATTAAACCATCAGCATAAACAGTGCCACGAATATTGGTTCCACAAAACTCTCCCCATGTTAATTATCTAAGATGATATTAACCACCCCCGACCAAGGGAAATCATCTTGTTTACACTGTCTGATGTTTGATGAGATAGCATCTGTCAACAGAACTTCTATTGCCCCTGTCCTGTACCAGTTTGACCATGCCAGCGGCTCCTGCTGTTCAGTTACAATAAGACCGTACGCAGATCACAATGTGCCGCCGCCACCACCACAGGCAGCGACGGTCTCCACTTCATCGCACTTTTGGAGGCCTCTTTGCAGCTAAGCAACCTTGTGCCACTTCAGCCGAAAGCACAGAGGGACTGAATAGCAGAAAAAGCTTTGGAGGTCGTCAGGTCTCTCCAGTAAAGCAGCTGTTGCATAAGCACCAATATTAAGTATATAGATTCACACATATCAATATTTACCTGCCCTGGTGGTGACATTTCCTAGCATTAAAACTGTACCTGCTGGGCAGAGATAACCTGGCTATTTAAATGTGTGAACGATGGGCAAATACTCATCTGACATTTGTTAATACCAATCAAGACACGTCACCGACAAAAAGTGCAGTAAACCCAAGAAAACACACGTTCCCGTCTCCATAAATAGCGCACTTACCCCGACACGCTGCTGTTCAGTTGGCTGAGCCTACGCTCACTTTCTGCTGTTGACACACACAGCTTGCTGTTTCCATGCAAGGCACAGATGCGCAACAAGCAGCATGGCCTTGGCCCTTTTCCACAGGAAAGCACACAGCTTGAGCAAACAGATCGCTCCCCTGCGCTGAGCTCACCAGTGCAGCACTGGCTGAGTATTTCATGCACTTCACAGCACTCCCACCTC